AGTATAATGTGGTGATAGGAGTGAGCCCTAATCCAATGTGTTTGGTGTCTTTACAAGAAGAGGAAATTAGGAGACACAGACATGTGTACACACAAAGGAAGGATTACATAAGAACACAGGGAGGGGACAGCCAAGGAGAGAGGGCTCAGAAGAAGCCAAACCTGATGACACCTTCATCTTGGACTTCCAGCTCCAAAACTGTGGGAAAATAAATTTCTGTTGTTTACTCTCCATCCAGCCTGTGGATTTGTTTTGGCGGCCCTAGCAAACTAATACAACATGTAATTAAGTTCCTCTTAGTACTTTCCATCCACTGACCTCTTTGCTTTGCTCTTTGGTGATGAATCCCCAGCTGTCTTTGCTGTGTTTACCGCTGAGCTTAGTTCTGCACTGAGGTTTTCCTCCCTACTGCAACAGCTGCAAGATCTTATGATCATAAAGAATTATTATTACTTATCATATGAGAAAATATCCAGTTTTTTATAGAGGCAAACTGTAATATGTAAGAGTAAAATCATATAAAATTGGGGTTCTGCTTCAAAATTTTTCAGCATAGAGGAAAAAAAACAACCAAATTGGTGAAGCAAATATGTCATATTCTTGATAATTGTGAAATTTGAGTGGTGGGTATATAGGTTTCATTGAACTACTGTCTCAACTTTGAGTACATTTGCAAATTTTATAAAATATTAACACTATACCTATTTATCATTTAATTTTCTGAAGACATAAGGCATGTCTTATAAATGAATTGAGGCATGGAAAAAATCCTTATAAAGCATGTCTTATGAACACTAATTATCACTGTTCCTTAAAGTAAACATAGTATTGCTCTTAACTTCTAAAATACTATGGAAGTTTAATTCCCCATGGTCAGAGAACATATTCTGCCTGATTTAAATCTTGCCAAATTTGAGAATTGTTTGATAGGTAAAATATCATCTACTATCGTAAATTTTATATGCATCTGCAAATAATATATATTTTGCTTTTGGGGGGAGGAATTCTGCATAAATGTCAATTAGATCGAGTTGGTTGATAGTATTTTCAACTCTTCCATATTCTTATGAATTTTCTGTCCACAGTAATTGAAATAGAAGTTTTGAAATCTCTAAGTATAGATATCTATTTCTCTTTTCAATTCTATTATTATTTTCTTTGCATATTTTGAAAGATTATTACTGGGAGTATACAAATTGAGGGTTGTTATTTCTTCTTGGTGAATTAATTTGCTTTTTCATTATCATGAAATGTCCCTCTTTATCTCTGGTAATATTATTCCTTTCCTACAGTCTATTTTGAGAGCCACCCCAGCTCTCTTATGATTACTGTTTGCATGCTGTACCATTTTCCATCCTTCCACTTGTATTTCTCTGTCTTTGTATTTAAGGCTCATTTCCTGTAGTTAGCATCTAATTGGGTCTTGCTTTTTTAATCTAGCCTGGCAGTTTCTGCATTTTAATTAGAATGTTTAAACCACTTCCATTTGATATAATTATTAAGATAGTTGGGTTCAAGTCTACCAACTTGATTTTTTTTCTATTTGATTCATGTTTTTTGTTCTTTTATTTTTCCTTTCCTGGTTTATTTCAGATTGGGTTTTTAAGGATTCCATTTTATCCTTAAAGAAAGTTCTTTTTATATTTATCAGTGAATAGCCACACTAGTTTAAAAAATAGCTTTCTGTGTGTACCTGAAAAAGTATTTTACCTTCATTTTTGAAAGATATGTTTGCTAAATATAAAAATTTTGGTTATAGATTCTTTTACTCTGAGAATTTGAAAGACGTGATTCCACTGTCTTCTGGCTTGCATCTTTCTAAAGAGAAGTTTGCAGTCATCTTATTGTTGTTCCCCTGAATAGAGGCTTCTGCTCCTCTAGCCACTCTCAAATTTTTTTCTTTATCATAGGTTTTCAGCAACTTGATTATGATATGCCTTGATGTACTTTTATTAGTGTTTGCACTGTTTGAGATTTGTTTTTCTTCTTGGATCTGTGGGTTTTCACTTTTTATCAAATTGATTTGGGGGCCATTTTTTTTCCTGATACATGTCCTCTGCTACTCTCTCTCACCCTTCTTTTATTCTTGAATTCCAATTACAAGCACGTTACACAACATGCCCTGAGGCTCTCTTCATTTTTTTCTAGTCTCGTTTCCTGTCTATGCTTCTGTTTTGATCGATTTTTATTGCCCTGTCTTCAAGTTTCCTGATCTTTTCTTCTGCAGTTTTTAATCTGCTGTTGATCCCATCTAACGAACTTTTCATTTGCAAAATTATCTTCCACTTCTTGACATCCCATTTGTCTTTCAATTCCTTCCTTTTCTCCTCAGTTTGCATTCATGTTGTCTTTTAGATGCTTGAACATGTTTATAATATTTATAAGAGCCATTTGAAATTCTTTATCTCCTCATTCTACCATTCCTGTCATTCCTGGGTCTGCTTTTATGGACTGATATCTCACCTAGTTATGTATCACAATCTCTACTTCACGTATCTCACAATATTTTATTGGGTGACTGGCATTTTGAATATAACTGATAACTACATGGATTTTTTTTTCCTTTTTAAAGAGTGCTGACATTTGTTCTGGCAAGTAATAAAGTTACTTGTAGATGAGGTCGATCTTTCTGAGGCTTGCATTTATGTTTTCTTGGGGTATCTAGAGTAGCCTTTACTTACAGCGAATTTATTCCTACCACAAAGGCTCGGTCCTTTTGTCGATTGATTGCTTCCAGTGCTCTGTGAGGTCTCCAGCTGAACAGATGGAGTTCAGAGATCCTGCACCCTGGTGTGAGTTCCAGGAACTGTTCTTTATTTATAGCTCACTGTTCTTTATTCACTTCCTGGAATTCCACCAGTGCATGTACAGATTGGTATCAAGTAAAGACTCAAGGGACCTCACGCAGGTGTTTGAATTCCTTTGAGTATCTTCTTCCTCTCTGCTATCCTGTCTCACCTCTGCTCCCCAAAGCCTGCTTTCTTGTCCTCAATTTGGTGAGATCGCCATGCTCTGCCTGGATTCCCCGTCCCTGCCTGACAGTATGAAAAGTGCCTCCAGAAGAAAACAGAGTTGATTGTGCAGCTCGCTTCATTTTTTCCCCATCTCTTAGGGACGCCAGCCCTGTGCAGCCTTTTGTCCTGATGTCCACATCTAATTGTTTGGCCTGTTTTGTTCAGCTTTCTAGTTCTTCTGGAAAAAAAAAAAAAAAAAGCAAACAGCATGAATTCCATACTAGCTACTCCTTTGTGGCTGGCTGGAGAAATTCTGAAAACTGTTTTCCGTGTTTTTAAAATCACTTTACTTCCTTGGGACTCCTTAGTCTGTTCAAACAGATGAGTAAACCACCTGTGACAGATCTGTGCGAAGTGCCTGCCAGTGCCGGTCCTGGGTGGCTGCCTGGAGTGTACAAGAGCCTCTGGGCCTGAGGAGGAGGGAGCAGATCTGGGTGTGGCCAACCAGGAACAGAGGCCAAGTCGGTTGCAGTGCAGAACAATAAGGGCTTCATGCAAAACCCTTCTAACAACGGTCGTCTCCTTCCTTTACCTGAACGTATTTGCTCCCTCTCTCAAAAAATACAAAAAGTAAAAGGCAGAATTTACAAATATGTGGCTCTCCCTGAAGTGGATGAACTTGGGGTTTCCCATGAATGAGACTCCTGATGAGCCACAGTTGAGGAGAGTCCCCTGGGTCTATGGCCACGCCCACGCGCACGCCCACGCCCACGCCCATCGCAGGGGCATGTAGTTGTGGGAGTAAAGAACTTTCTTCCGAATTAGCAGATCCTTGTACGCTCAAATTTCAGGAATATTTGAATAGATCTAAAGAAAACTTCAATCCGCATGCTGTGGTTCATGCTAGTAATCCCAGCACTTTGGGAAGCTGAGGAAGGAAGATTGCTTGAGTCCAGGAGTTCGAGAGCAGCCTGGGCAATATCACAAAACTCCATCTCTGCCACAAATACAAATATTAGTGGGGTGTGGTAGCACACACCTGTAATCCCAGCTACTCAAGAGGCTAAGGCGGGAGAATCACTTCAACCCAGGAGGCAGCGAGCCAAGATCACACCACTATACTCCAGCCTTGGTAACAGAGCAAGACTCTGTCTCAAAAAAAAAAAAAAAAGACAATTGTGCTAGACATTTGCTTGTGCCCACAGCCTTCCCTAGAGAAAGATGCCCACACACCCCGCCAAGTAGGCCTGCCTTCGGCTGCCGCGTTTTGTGCCCCTCAACCCTAGCCCTTCTCGAGTTCACCGGAGTGGACGCCTGACTCTAGCAGTGAATCACCTGCTGCTGGTGACATGCAGGGTGTCTGTGAGGGACAAATTCCTTTGCTTAAAAGGAAATGAACTAGTCAACACCAACCAAACAAGACATTTCATAGTGAGAACTGAAACTCAAAAGACACTTAAAGAGACAGCCAGGAACTAGGAAGGGGCTTCCATCTCACAGCCAACCCCTCTGTGAAAAAGGGGCCTCCGGTCAGACCCCCTCCTCACGGCCCCTTCCCTCCCCTTCCTTTCCCACAACCCACTGGTCCCTGCTAAGTCCAGATTGGTTTTCTATTTGACGCAGTCCAGGGCTTCTCCTGTCCCCGGGACCCTTGTCCAAGGGGCTGCAGAGAAATATCTGGCCATTTCCTGCCCTTCTAGGCCCCCTCCTCCCTGAAGGTTGCTCAGACCCCAGCCCAGACACCCGCCTCCCCTGGCCTCCCGCCACACCTCCTGTCTGCCCTGACACAGAGGGACCTCCCCACTTCCCCTTCAGAGATATCAAGATTTGACAGCATGACCAAAGTATTTCTGAGCTTCCAGTGAAAGTCAAGTCCACGGTCGCTGCTGCTGACTAGTCAATCTGCCCCCACGTCCGCAGCTGTTCCACCCGCCTTCCTTCCTTCATGCATGAAGGTCAAACCCAGGCTTGGCTCTTCGTGAACCCAGCAGAGAGGATTCCAGAGCTGTCTCCCCAGAGCCCTCCCCAGCAGAGATCCTGACTCACCCAGGACAGGAGGGCTGAGGCCAAGAGCTCCGCTTCCAGATGCTTCCTCTGTGTTCAGCTTCCAACGTCCGCCCTGCCAAGATGCCCCTTGGGAGCAAGCAGGAGTCCGTCCCCAGGGACGGGTCCCCCGCTCTCCCCTGAAACCACAGGGCCGCTGCCGTGAGGGAGGAATGGGAACACCACTAAGGCGCAGCAGCTGAGAGCTGGGAATGAGACACAGAGCCAAACCCTGGTCTCAGCCGGGAGCAGTGCCCCGCATGCGAACGCACTCGTGGGTGGAGGGGGGGACGCGTCCCCTCTGCAGAAAGCAACTGCGCAGCAGCTGAAACAGGCTGAGCCCAGGCCCAGACCTCAGACTCCATGCTGCACCTG